AGTTTTCTAGAAATATTTATTTATTTATATTGTTAATTTTTTTAAAAAGATTTTTAACAAATTTTCCAAAAATTTGTAGAGCATACAAAAGTTGGCCCAGATCTAACAGCGCCAAAATACTAATTGCTTTAGATTGATAATTAATTGGATTAATGGCGCGTGCACAGTTGTGATAAATATATTATTGTGAATGAAAAATAAACTCATATATAGACACAATATATATAGATTGATATATATCTACATACTTTTATGTAATTGTTCATATAACAAAATAATTCTAATAAAAAATTCTGTTTTAAGTTGCTATGACAAAAACATCTGCTTGAGATTACTAATTATAGTTTTTTGACTCAAGAATATTTAGCAAATCTTTCTACAATACTTTCCAGTAAATCAGAGAATTAACCTTAAGCCTCAATTTCCATTGAACTGAAGAATCAATGGACTTGCTTAAGAACCCCATTTGGCATTGTATATAGTTTCATTCATGGCGTAAGCTCTCAACATATGAAACCGATTCGATTGAGTCAGCTTTTAGATATGGAAATTGGGAAACTTTTAACGAATTTGAATGACAAATTGTTTGATTTATAATATTATGCTGCATTCTCGGATGTGAGGAAATTGTATAATGTCTCAATGGGCCACAGAAGAAGGAAATATAGTGAATTTACCCTTGGGAAACAATTACACGAAAAATAATTAAAATACAAACATATAAAATGAACACTTTTAATTATATTTAAATCAAATTGCCTATTCATTGGTCATATCGTAAACCCCATCAACAAGTCTTAATATTTCCTGTAGCTGATGCAAGGCATAAGACAATGCCAACTACCTTTAATAAGCGAAATCCATTAGCGATATTTATGCGCATTTAATTGCCATTGTAATTTCCAAACAAATTTATGCAGGCCGTGCAACTTGGCCAGGCTGATAACCCACTTGGCAATCAAACACAAAATACAAAATACAAAAATAAAAACAGGAAGCCGCGACGGCCAAAAGCGGTAAAGGGAATAACTAAACGATAGTCCAACGATGTGCATAAGTATGTATGTGTGTGCGTCTGTATGTGTAAGCACATAATGAACATTTGAAATATTTTGACGATTGCGTAGCATAGCCCCCAAAAACCACAAGACCTCCATTTTGGGTGGCTTGGGGCGCAGGGGCGTGGTGGAAAGCCAGTGCAGTCTTTATGTGCTTAGTTTTGGTCCGCTTTGGCGGACGCACGTAAGCATTATAGCTGACTGATTTTCGCTTCTCGCTTCTCGCTTCTTGCCCGTTCCCTCTAAACTTTCCTCCTTCACTTTGCTGCTCTTGCGACGTTTTGTAACACTAAACGAGCAGCGTGTGGGCAACTTTGCTGTGCTTCTTTCCTAACCGGAAGTTTTACAAAGGCAAGTGAGCAAAAAGTATGAAAAAAAGAAGAAAAGTGAAGCACCGAGGGGAAGTATGCCAGAGAGTTATAATAAAGTCTTTAAATGCATTTCAAAGCGTGACGGCCCTGAAATACCCTCTAAGATCATAGATGCACATGCATTTGGTCATACAGCTTAGCTGCAAATTCCTCACTACCAATACACCCCATTTCTAGCTATACTTAGAGGGTAGCGAATAGACAGTGGAGTCAACTTGCTGTGCATAATTTTCAAATCACGTACAATGGAGGCAGCAATTGTTGCTGTCTTTGTCTTCAGTAGCTGTTGTCGCTGCCGCTGACACCAAAAAAAGAGCAGTGGCAACAGCAAGAAGAAGCAATGACGACGTCATTAAAACAAAAAGCTGCCACAGGCAAAAACTTAAAAACCGACAAAGCCAAAAAAAAATTGCTAATTTAAAGCGCGTTTGCAGCTGGGTGGGCGCATAAGAGCTAAAAAGAGCGAGACAGAGAAAGACTGAGAGAGAGTTGAGGGTGAGAGTGAGCCTGCATATGTGTGTGTGTGAGTATTGGTTTCTCTTGTATTGCCATGTGTCGGCCTGCATGTCCCTGTGCACGGTATGCTGCATCAAATGAATAGATTATATTGCGCAGCTAAAAGGATTCTTCGTTCACTTCCTCATGGCAACTCGACAATAACTGCAGTGACATCTGCGTCGGCGCCAGCAGCGATGTTGCAGCCGAATTTAGGGCATATGTTAGGGCTATGCCATGCTGCGGTAGTGTGCAGTAAGGGTATACCTATGCTCAGAATTATTTTGTATAAGATTACAATTAAATATGCAAAAATACATATTTCCTACTGTTACGAATTGTAATTACTTGTCTTAGTTAAACAAGAAAAAACTATGCTGCAAAAGTGTGGAGCTAGAGTATATGCATTTTCTGATCTATTTTGTATATTTTAATAAATAGTATTAATATTTTAATAAATANAAATAATAATTTTGATTAATTCTGATAATAAATAATAATTCTAATTAACTATTGTAATTAAAAAGAAACTACTCTTAAAAATATCTATTCTCAACTCAATTAGCAGTGTATTAAGAGGAGCGACATTTCGTTAATGGATTTTCAGATTACGCTCACTTCCTGCAGAGCCACACGCGGCCACACGACGAAAGTACGGTAAAGTGTGGGCGATGACTCAAAAGAGAGCGAGAGTGACAAAAACCGAAAAGCAACGCAGCAAACACAAGCAAACTCATACATAATAACAGCAAGCAAGGCATACTCACATACACATATACTAACTTACACTGACACACGTGAATGAGAGAGTGCATTCAGAAGGCTTCGGTTTTGTAACTGCCATGCAACTGGACTTTGTGTGTGTGAGTGTGTACGTACATATATTGCCCCTGCCAAAAGGGTCGCAATAAATCTCTGCGTGAAATGGACAATAACACCCAAGTGAAGCCAAAGGCAAGGCAAGCGCCGTACTCCGCGTGTTCTGCACTGTGCATGTAAAGGTTTACAGTAGGAATACATAAACACACACACACACACACAGAGACACATACACCCATGCATCTGAGTGCACACAAGCAAAACGAGAACGAGTCGAGGACATTTGCAGAGCCCCAGTACAAAATCAATGCAATTTTCACTACTTCCGGCAGTAGAAAAATAAGTCAGTGGATGTAGTATCGATGTAGTAAATACCCTGTTATTACTTTATACACCAAAACTTATGAATTAATATTATACATGTAACTATATATTAGTTGTAACTGGTATAAATATTGTACTAAACGAAAAAATTACCTGAAATAGACTAAGATTACCTATGTTCATTTATATACTTGCTCCAAGTATTTTAAGGTCTATTTTAAAAATTTATGCGTAGAGCGTTAATAAATGAAGCAGAAGAGAGACAAAGCACAGCTTTTGTTTCTGTTCCATTTGTTTGCTTTAGTGCATTAGCTTTGCTCCCCTTTGGCCAGACGTCTAAAGTTATTAGCCTGTGACACCTTTTGGTAATGTCGCATCAGCCAACCACGACATCAGGAGAGGAGAAGAAGGAGGCGAACTATGGACAAAGCGTCTAAAGGAGCTGTGCAAACAGCTCTCAGCAGCCTTTGATGGTGAGGTTTTGTGTGCTCAGAAAGCAAAAGTTGTCAAAGGCGACGCTTGAAGTAGGATATTATCCCCAACTTGATGTAAGTACATGAAAAATGTAAGCACATGTCTTTTAGTTGGCATGACATATGCATATTCGATATTGATATTTTATAATCGTTGCTAATCTGTTGTCATAAAACATGTAAAGCTTAAAGAATATTCATTTTTGTTTGTAGTGCACTTCAATGAATATATACATATAGTATATATTATTCATTTGTTAAAACACTGAAACTATATATGATTGTTAAACTTCATTTAACCAATTACATAAGCTTATACCCTATGCCAATGAAGCAAATGTTATGCGAAAAATGTGTGTTTTTCTTTTGTTAAATACAATTAATTAACATTGTTTACGCCATTGACGAACTGGGTCAAATTATTTTCCATATATGTAGTGTATGCATGTGTATATTTCACTATAAAATTTGCAAAACAAGTGACCCATGTCAATTAAGCAACAGTCGGACAAGAAAGCCACAGCAACGCAACAAATAACGACGATTGAATGCTCTTAACAAATATTGAGCAATGACTTTCTCAATTAAAGATCTCAGCTGAATGAAACAAAATAATAAATAATATATAGGCATAGCTAAAGTGTTTGTAATATATATTAAATCTTTAAAGAGTGTTTTCTCTGTCCACATTATTTGTTTACTACTATTTTTAGCTTCGGTTTATTATTACATGCTGGCGCTCCTCTGAAAAACCTTGATATTCTGAGAATACCTTGTGTTATTGAGGCTACAATTATAATACTCACAATAAGGGTATATAATATAAAACTGATAAAAACAAATGAGTTCATTAGCCCCCACGCGACATTTGGCAATTAGCGTGAAACTGTTAATGAAGCGTACTGTATATGTGTGTCTGTTTCTGTGTTTGTATATGTACTATGTGTAAAATAATTAATTAAATTATTGGCACATCTGTGTGCTATTTACACTTACCTCGGGTGGATCCCAAACGCATTCGCCAGTTGTTAGATTGGCATACATATGCTCCTTGGTGCGCGGCTCGATTATTTCCACCCATTCTATTCTGTAATCCAAAAAAATAGACAGAGAGAGAGCGAGAGAGAGAGAGAGAGAGGAAGATAGTGGGTGTGAATGTTAGAAAACGTAACATAAATAAAGATATTAAAAAGACCTAGAGATGCAAGAATTGCGGCTATTTTAAAATGAAAAAGCACCTCTGGAATGCAGCACACAGCGCATTGTAACTAAAGCAACAACAACAAGAGCAACCAAAACTTTAAGAATTGGGCACACACGCAGACAAAATTCATTCATTTCGTTCATTCATTAATGCAAACGCGCAAAAGATGTGCTGCGAAAAAGGAACAAACCCGAAAATAAAAACCCAGAAATAAAATACCACCCACAAAAAAGTACCACCCGAATTGCCCTGTGCGTGAGTCGTCGCTTTGAACTATGTATATACGTGTGTGAGTGTGTGTGCATTGCTGGTTTCCCCCATGAATGCTTGTTTTGGGCTTTTCTTTCTACACACACACAAGCACACAAATATATTTTGTCAAACATTTTCCGGTTTTTCCTTATTCGAAGCTGCAGCTCAGAACGCCGCACCATCCTTTCTCACACACACATATACATATAGATTCACGCACATCGATACATATACAGAGAGCGAGCGCTCTCACTCTTGCTATCTCTTTCTCTCCTGCATATATGTACATGAACGGCCGCGGGTGCCAAACAAAAACGACGCTTGTTGCCGCGCCTTGCAAGAAAATCGATTTTGCAGGCCAAAATGCATAAATTTTGAAGGAACTAGCATTTAATTAACGGCAGGCGAATATAGTTAAGGTGCAGGGAGGGTGAGCGGCAGCAGCGAAAGCAATGCAATCCACACGCATACACGACTCACACACGCACATTCAGACAGGCAACGGCTGCGGCTGTCATTGCCTTCATGGGCTCGCCTTAAAGGGGAGGTGCTGCTGCTCTACACACCATTGGGCTGAGCTGAGTATAAATTTTCGCACTTCCCAACACAGAAGAGTAGACAAACATATTAAACAAAACATTTAACAATACGCCCTATTGTTGTTGTTGCTAATTTAATTGTGTACACACTCAAACATTTCGATTCATTTCGTTGTTGCTGTTTTTCTGCTGCTAGTCTGCTTCCCAGTGCGCTTGCTGGTCATAGTTTAACGGCACACACCTTTCACAACTTGAACTCATTTTTCCAACGCTTTATTGTAACTTGGCCGCTTGTCGTTGCTGTCTCCTTTTGCTATTTCTGCAGCAGCTGCTTCTTCTTTTCTCAGCACATGCACCCCACTGAATCTCCGCACACAAACACGTACAACAACTTAATATATTTTCACTGATACTACTACACACTTTTATTTTATTTTATTTTTCGTAAAAGGGGGCTGGGGCAGCGAAATGCAATTTTTCTTTTTCAATTGATTTTTTCTTCCACTCGCACTCCTTTTTTCACTTTGCCTGTGGCGTTAACGCTTGGCGAGCACTTTCACATTTATGATATAATTTACAGGCCATATTTTCGCTTTGCTTTTCGCTTGCACAAATGCATTTTCTTTTTTCAATTATTTATGTGTCCGTGTTTATAATTAAAAATATTTCATCCGCCTTGCATTCACACGCCGCCGCCGCTGTTAACCAACTGTAAGCGTCAGCTGTTTTCGATTGGTAGTCCAATCGATAATGCTACAACATCGATTTCAAAGTTTCTACAGACTCTGTTAATTTTAGCATACCAATTTTTCGCAGCTGATTTCTTATTTAATCGGGAAGGTACTAATTGTAAGAAGTTGAAACATAACTGATAAAATAAATAGAGCTAGTATAATTTTCTAAATTTCAGTTTAAAAATCTTCCAGTAAAAAAACCATAATTGTAAATTTAGCAATTGCTGGTGTGTTTCAGAAAACAGTACGACCAATTATTGTATATCGGTGACTTCGTCTGGTCACACTTTTGCAAATAACGTTCATTCAAAGATTCAACGTGAAGGAAAATCATCTAAAATTTACTGAAGTATAGCTATTGATGAAGATGTGAAGGAAAGCCAAGTCATGATTTTTTTTATTCTTTACGTTCATTGAATTTTATTTAAATTTTGCGAGTTAATACAAAAACGAAAACTGAAATTATTGCATTTAACATTAAAATCGCCCGCTCACCATTACAATGCCATTGAAAAAGATTTGTTTAATACTATGGTTAACTGATTTTTACATATGTTATTAAGAGTGTCTCGGTTCTTCTCTACAAAAATGTAAAATAATATAGTCACATTTAAAATTGCATAATTCTAGACAATTCTAGACAAGTGATGTTCGATTATGATGTACATATTGTTTTGAAGAAGATCGCATGCATAAAATGTTTTCAATTATTTTTTTTTTTTTTTGCGTTTTTCTTTGATTTTTTCTTATTTGTTTAAATTGGCTGTCGACGTAATAATTTTGAATTACTATATTTTTATATACTTGAAATTTATTGCATTTTATGTAATTAAATATATAAATATATATATACATACATATACATATGTATACATAAATTTATATATATGCAACGTATGTACATCTACATCACGAATCACAGCAAAACTTTACATTATATTTTTTATTCTGTTTTTTAATTTAATTATGATAGGCTTTTGATTTTTCTTGAGTTTTTGTAAAATAAAAATAAAAAACGATATAAAATTACGGGTGCTATTATTATTCTTGAAAGTCCCAGTAAAAGGTGTAAAAAGAAATATTGAAATTAAATTTGAAATATGAAAATAAGCTTAAAGAATTTGTATTCAAGCTGTTTGGTTCTTGATTCGGTTTATTGAGACAGTATTTA